ACACAAACTTAGGCCTGCATGCTCAGGCTGAGCCTATGGTAAACTCATTAAGTCAGTTTCTTTCAACTCTTGACAGTTTTCACAGACATACTTGATTGAAAATTACTCTTTTGCTGACATTTCAAATAAAGTAACTTCTCTGGGGCATACAGTGAATGCACTCCAGTGATTTCTGGAAAACTTAACGTGTTACTTAGTGGAGTGAATTTGCTTTGTTTGTACCTGACTGTGTTTCCTGGGTCTTTAGTTCTGTTTTGGACTTGCTCTAGATAATGACTGGGTTTACTGAACTTGTTGGTCAGTAAATCCAGCTGTTTAAGTTTATATGGTGTAACTAGAAAATCAGACTTTGCTTTTCTGGACTCTTCACAAGTTTTCAGGTGAAACTTTGCTGTTCAGTAAAATTTGGCTTGGTATGAACAGTGGCTGAAGTTACCCCTCAGAAGATGTCAATATACTTTTGCTGTTTTAAACCTCAGCTGAACTTTTAATCTCTGAAAGATATTGATGGTTTCATGTCCTTTTAGAATATCTTCAAAAGACAATAATTTATTGAAGTAGTTATTTCTTATGTCCTGATTAATTTATATATACCATTGTGATAATATTTGCTTCATAAATAGGAGATAAGAACTGATTTTATAAAATAATAGGATGATAGTCTTCTACCTAATTAAGAATTTATACAGAATCATTGCTTCTGTTTTCTGAAAACTGTATTTTTAAACTCCTCTGAGACAGCAAACAAAATTACTAGCAAGACAGTATTATTTAAAATTAAAAGTATTAGATTGGCAGAAAACCTGGGATTAGAATTTATATCACTCTCTGTTCCTTTTTTTAAAAAAAATCTTCCATTTTTTTATAAGTAATTACAGGGAAACAACAAGCAGCCCCTACAAATAGGGAGAATCTCTTCCTAACTACTGTTAAAATATCTAACCTCTTTTGGTAAGCTTAAGAGTAAACAAATTGTTCTGTCATAACGTTGGAGGACTTCAGCAGACTTAAAGAAGATTAAAACTGGACAGTTGTATCTGTCAGTGCCCCCAGCTGTCAGCCCTCCACTCTATCAGATGTCACAATTTCAGTCAGTAATTGCAAGCAGCCTTGTGTTCCATACTTTTACCTGATCGTGCCAGTCTGCAAATTATCATGGCTGGAGGTATATATTCAGCCAGCAGAATGTTCAGATGATGTCGTTTTTGACATGGTGACGTCCATCAGAGGAGTGGAGCAGACAGATGGGAGAGGAACGACTTCAGTCCTCTCATCTTAATCTATTCCTGTAAGCCTGCCAAAGCCTGGGATGCCGACTGTACAATGTGTGTGTAGAAATATGACTGTAACTGTAATTAAACAATTAACATCATTAGAGATTTTAGGTTCTCATCAGAAAGGCCTTCTCTCAGGAAAACCAGCAATGCTTTTTTTTAAATTTAAAAATGTTTACAATATTATAAACCCAGCGTTTTCATGTATTGTAAAATAACTTTTTGATATTATGTAGTTCATGGGAGTATTCTAATTGTGGCTTGACATCCTATAAAATTTGAACTCTGAATGAAGCCTATTTGAACAGTAGGGCCAGCTGTCTTATTTTCTTGTGGAAGTAATGGGGATTTATATATATAATTTTTTTTCACAGTTCCAGAAAGAGAAAATATTTTATTTTAAAGATTGTTGGTTTAGCACTTGGAATTCTACAATGTTTTATCCTTTTGTATAGTAAAACTAAGTGTTTTATTAGTATAATGCACGTGAAGACGACAAATACGTTTATTTCTTTGTAGTTTTAGAGACAAGTTAAATATATTAATGGTTAATGTAAGGTAGATTATTAACCTAAGTACTGTTTCTACTATACAGTAGGGGGGTTGCTGTTTTGTTGTTGGGGGTTTTTTTGTGTTTCGTTTTCTTTTTTTCTGGTTATTTAGTATTTTATCAACTTTGCAACATGTTTGAAAGAGCTGCTTTTGCAGTCTCCCTGAATTTGATGTATTGTAATTTATTGCTTATCAGTTCCTTATGCTGATTGGTTTAAATCCTTTTTCTGTAAGTTTTAGGTTTATTTTTATGGACCCCTTTTTCTTGTGTTAAATGTTACCACTATTGGCAAATTCAGATTAACTTTACCCTTTTTTATAGCTCTGCTAATACATACAGCTTTAAAGTGTAGGGTAAACTTTCATATACTAAGTAATTTGTCTAAATTTATTGGCAGCATTTCTAATCTTGTTAGAATTGTGAAGCAGAGAGCCTTTTAAAAGATGTTTGTGCATTCATCTGCTGCAGATGTATGCTACTAACTTCGTATCAATCATGGGGTTTTTTCACTTACATGGTCGCATGCAAATATGTCATGAGTGATTTTAACTTAAAAGTATTATCAGCACACTATATTCTGCCAACTAGATTTCTTCTGATAAAGTTAGAGTTCTGAATCATTTGTATTTTCTGAAAACGTGAATTGTAACACTTTAAATGCTTGCTTTTTAGAAGACATAGAATTATGTTGCTTTTTTTCATGGTCTGTTTGAAGTCTCTTTGTGAGTAATTTTCACTTACAAATTAATGTCTTTTTCCCTAGTCAAATCATGCAGATTTGATTTAGAAGTCTGAGAAACTTTATTTAATAATGTCTATTTTGCTAAAACTTGAAATTATTTAAATTTTATTATTTCATTGCATACCCCTAGTACTAACTTCAGATCATCAACATATAACAGTAATATAAAAATGGAAAGCATAAAAGCTTCAAAATGCTGAGTTTCTTTGAAAACACTTCTGAACTTTTAAAAATACTTCCTTTTTGTTGCCTTAAGCAAACAAAGAACAATTTTGAGACACTGATGAATGTAGCTGGATTCACTCAACAGTTTAAAGAATAGAGTGGAGAGCATGTTTTCTTTCACACCTCCAGCAACCATTCATTAGATTAGTGTGGTCTGATTCCTTTACAGTGTATATTCAAAGTTACAACTCCATGCAGTGCTGTCTTTTTTCCCTCCTTAGCTTTTTCAGCCTCTGTCAGCGTAGCTCAGAAACTGATTTCAGCACCCTGGTCAAAAATCCACTAAATCAATGGAGATCTCTTCATTGATTCTGGGTGATTAGAATCAGCTTCTGCTATTTTTACTTTGTCATTTTGATCTCGGCTTATACACTGAAACGGTGTAATTAGTGTGAGATGTCATGAGTGTTCATAAAAGAAGGTAAAAAATTATGTAGAAATACATAGAATGGAGGCCCAAGATAACAATGTATTGGTCCTTGCTGTTCCCTTCCACTGATCTTGCTCCTTCATTTTTCCACTTCCCTTAGCCATCTCTCGCTCATCTTTGCTTTTCCCTTGTTCTGTTTCATTTCCTGTTCCAGGAAGTCTTAAATGTAGATCAAATTCATAGTGTCTATTTACTTCCCTTTTCTAAGTGAATTTAACTCCTGAATTAATTTCTGGTGAATTTAACTAGTTCACCAAATCTTTTAATATTTAAGGAATACTTTGATAGTGAAGCTGCTTTTTTTCTTCATTAAAATAATCATGTGTAATCTAGCATTGTATTTAGAGAACGATGTGCTGATTCCTTCAGATGAAGTAAGCCTACTGTTGAGGAGGATCTGGAGTTGGTTTATAGGGAGGGGAAGAGGTTTTTGAGGGAAACTCTGCTGCTAGAATGAAAAATAATGTGGAAGCTAGGGTACTATGACTACTGAGCCAAACTTTTTCATTCACTGTCAGGAAAAAATTATAATTCTGCTGTTGATTAGAATGTCTGAGGGAGATGGTTCATCCTGATCTACACAGGAGAGTGAAACTGGCTGCAGAGGTTTATTTTCCTGTGAGACATCCTGTTGTTTCAGTTTCCTCTTGATGATTATTCACCACTGTTTAGTAATCTTGGTTTTGTCAGGCTTCAGTGATTGCTCAACTCTCCAGCTCAGTTCAAAAGTTTATTCCCTCCAGGTTTGCATCAGTCTGACAGAGTCTTCTGTTCTGTTCTTTTATAGACACAGGTCTTTCTGTCACTGAATTCTCTCTGCCACTAGACAGTTGGCTTATAATATGCAACAGACAGTACAGTAAAACTCCCCACAAAGCCAGCTTTTACAGAAAGAAAGGCATTTAACATTAAATGCGCAGGTAGGGTTTAATTTATTGTTTTCTAGAAGTGAGACAGTTTTGGTACATACAGGCTGGAGTTAGCATTACTGTTGCTTCTGAAAAAGGTACAGTCAGCCTTTGAAATACTAGTAGTATTTTTCCATTTCTGTTGCTCAGCAGAGTATCTGTTTTAAAACAGCAACTGGAGTTTTCTGTAGCAAACCCACAATTGAAGGATTTTTAAATTAATCTGTAGGAAGGTTTACTCTTATGTATGACAATGAGATAAGAAATGAAGAAGTTTATTTTCATATGTCTTAAGAAACAAATGTTGAAAACCAGGTACATAGAAGCACAAATCAAAGGCATGAGGGTAATGACTGCATTGCAGTGCTTTAGTTCCCTAAAACACATAATCTAAAACTGTTTGGTTGTGTTTTGCTCTCCTGGGCTTATGTTTAAATGTTAATATGGCTGGTACTAAGTGCTGGCTATAAAATTAGCATTGATTGGTGAAGGCTACAGTCTTTCAGTAAATATGGTGGAGATGCCCAAAATAAAACTTGCTTTGACTCAAAAAATCATACTAGAATTGCTTATATTTGAAGTCATTTAATTCCAAAGCAACTGGCACCAACGCTGTGTAGGTGATCTTAACCATTGTTATTTCTTAACTTTTACAATTATAACATAACATTACATTGATCCAGAATAATTCAGTCAGACATTTACCTTTGTATCACAATGCGTTCACTTTGGGCTTTGTATAGCTTGGATATTGATTTCTCTGCATATTACTGTTAGTCTTCATAGTCACACTGAATAGTGGAATAATTAATGAAATAATGTAAAGTACTTAAAACAATGACATTTTTGTAATTTTTCTTCTATTCAGCTATAATCCTCTGATAATCATGGAGCCATATTTTGCTGGTTTTAAGCACATGCAGCATGACTACGAAGTCACTCTTGAACTCGCAAGTGAGGAGACTCAAAAAACTAGAAATGCACAAAATTCTAGGACGGGGTCTTATGGTGTCAGTATTAGAGTCCAAGGAATTGATGGACATCCTTACATAGTACTAAACAATACAGAAGGATGTTTGTCAGAAAATCCCCCTCCTGGAAAAGAACAGCAGGTCATTTCTCAGAATGTAAGCAAGCCAACCACAGACTCCAGTGCTGCTTTTAAGTTGGAGGACAAAAACAGTGAACACCCAAAGTTTCCTGAAACACAGCATGTGCAACCCTGTATGCTTAAAAGCCTAAAGATAACCAATCTGGATGAAGAGGAAAAAAGAATATCAGATTTTAAAGATGGAACAATGAAATCCTCCAATTTGTTGAACTTTCAAAGACATCCTGAACTTTTGCAGCCTTATGATCCTGAAAAAAATAACTTGAACTTGGATAAATACCAACCTGCTGTGTGCAGTAAATCTAAATCTTTTGCAGATGAAGATAAAATTGAAGCAAAGCCTTGGATTTCCTCAACTAAAGTAGTGTCCCTACAGAAAACAAATACTTATCTTGCAGAGCCAGCCAAAGCAAATTCAAAAAATATACATTTGAACACATCAGTAGAAGTAGAAAACCAAAATAAGCAGCTGTTGGATTGTCCTAGTAGCACGATCAGCCCCAATGAAGTGTGTGTTTCAGAATCATTTTCATCTGCAGGAGGATCCCCATGTGTTAGTCCCACTACTTATCCAGAGACAAGAAAACCTAGACCAGATGTTCTTCCCTTCCGCAGACAAGATTCAGCTGGGCCAGTATTGGACAACTCGCGAAGATCATCATCCTCATCAGCTACTCCCACCTCTGCAAATTCCTTATACAGATTTTTACTTGATGACCAAGAGTATGCCATCTATGCAGACAATGTTAATCGGCATGAAAACAGAAGATATATCCCATTTTTGCCTGGGACCGGCCGTGATATCGACACTGGTTCACTTCCAGGAGTGGATCAACTAATTGAAAAGTTTGATAAGAAAGTTGACCCTCACAGAAGAGGTAGGTCAGGAAAAAGGAATAGAATTCATCCAGATGATCGTAAAAGGTCAAGAAGCGTTGATAGTGCCTTGTCATTAGGGCTTGATGTAAATTCAGATTATTTAGGTGAATTCAGTAAAAGCTTAGGTAAGTCAACAGAGCATTTGCTCAGACCATCTAAAGTTTGCCTTCACAAGCAGTTATCCAGAGATCAAAAGTCACCTTCCAAAGAGATAAAGATTTCTGCTCGAAGTATTGGAAAACTGCAAATGCCTGATAAAGACACTCAGAACAGCAATTTCAATTCTTTGCAATACCATAAACAAAATGGAGCTGACACCGAGAGTTTGATGTTCAGGTCATCTACGCTCCCAGGACAGAATAAGAGAGAGGAAGTTAAAACAGTAACTTCTACTTTATTGTTGCCAAATCGAATCACAAATCCACCTGATTCAGGAACGAAGAGTATTTCTGTAAAAACGTTTTCATCCATCTCTAATATACAGGTAATTTTGAATTTACTCTTTAAATTGTGTTTTGCACTCTGGTATATTAAGAGTGTCATATTGCTTTTGTGCTCTTCATTAGGACAAACTCCCATCACACAATACTTGCAAATGGGATAGCAGAGTTGTTCGGGAGAAATGTGAATACAAAAATTATTCAGGTGGTTGCAGGTGTAGAAAGCAGGGTTTGTAAAACAGTTCGTTCTTGTATGGGTGCAGGAAGAAGGTGGGGCCAAAGAAGATTATTGTAGATGGTATTGTGATGATTCTTCTTATGATGATGATAAATGCACAAAAGTAGAATGCTGAAATTATGTAACTCCATGCAAAATTATGTTTTGTTTCTTTTGGTGTGGGGTATGCTTTCTTCTTGCACTAAGCCAAAACTCCAAAGGATCTTTGTGAACTTTAGGTCCACAGTTCATAATTTTTTTCATAATTGTACAGGTTGTATTTACAACCCTCATAGGATTGTATTTTTTGCCATTTTGTCTTGTCCTTTTAGGCAACTCCTGATCTCTTAAAAGGGCAGCAAGATCTTGCACAGCAAACGAATGAAGAGACTGCTAAACAGATACTTTACAATTACCTTAAGGAAGGGTGAGTAAACAAAGTTAAGTTTTGGAAAGGAAATTGTGTTTTCTCAGTGTTTATTTTCTATTACATTTAAAAAGTGAAACTGTAAAAACAAAGATATAAGTAAATGAAATGTCTGTTTCATAATTCTGTATCTCAGTTGTGTCCTTTAAGGCATTATAGGATCTCAAAATACCCAGGCAATCAGGATTTGCATAAGGTATTGTACAGGATTTGCTTAATCCTGTATATTTGTGCATTAAAATATGTTTTGTCTTTGAAATACTTCTGGAGTTAAACTTCATGTGATATGGAGTTCGTGAAGGTACATCGTGGGAGTTTAAGCTTGTGGATTTTTTAAACAACAACAAAAAGTGTTATAACGTTTTACAGAAGTTGTCTTGTTGCTCTGCATTTAATCCTTTGTCCACCTGTAACTCTTTTATTTTGTGTTTTCTAATGATAACTTATTGAAAGACGAAGGAAGAATAAATGAATTAAAATAGACGATGCGCTTACATTTCTTTACATGCGAGATGTAGCAGGTTCTGGGAGCTGTAGCAATATTATATTATGGTGCAGTAATCAGGACTTGAAAAACCTAATACTAATGACTTCTAATTTCAGTATGTTTAAATAATGTACATGCTGAATACCTGTCTTTCCACAGCTACAGTCTTGTAGAAGAGAGTTGCAATTACAGAGTTCAGTTTTTTGTTGTTGGGTTTTTGTTTTGTTTTTTGTTTTTGGTTTTTTTTTTGAGGGATGGAGTGGGTATTAGTGGGGGTTTTTGTGGTTTTGTTGTTTGGTTTGGGTTTTTTGGGTTTTTTGGTTTGTTTTTTAGAAAACATTTGGAATATACAGCCTCTCTTTAAATGGTTTAATGAAATAATAAGATAATTTCTGACTGGTTCATATTAAACTTTTTTCCTTTATGGTGGTGATTTTCAGTAGTTTGGACACTCAAAATTTGTTTTGATGTTAACAAAGTAGTACCTTTGATCATGTTGTTTCTTACTTGTACTGTCTGTGTTTTAGAAGTGCGGATAATGACGATGCCACAAAGAGGAAAGTCAACTTAGTTTTTGAGAAAATTCAGACTTTAAAGTCAAGAGCTGCTGGAAAGACACAGGTAAACAATTTTTTAAGTTGCTTTGGCTTGTTTCAAAGTGGTATAGTGTTAAAACAGGGCTTTACAATTTTGAATTGCCTCCCTGAGTTCCATTAAGCTATTCTTGTAGTTCCTCAGTGGTATAGTTACACTGAGGTGACTTAAGGGAAATATTTTTCTAACAATTAAAAAAGAATGTAAAGGAGTTTACCATGAGAACTTCTACATTTTGCTCTTGAGAAGGAGAGAGATGCAAACTTAATGAACATAAAGAGGTTGTTGGATGAAAAAAAATATAACTTTAAAAATAATGGTGGAGTATCTTCTCATTATAGTGATGTAAATAGATATACAAATGAAGAAAGTAATTTGTAGTTTAGAAAAGCAATAATCTAGGATATTGTTTAAAAACCATATTATGGTAATAGCATTTGATGATCTTCCTACTGAAAAGTTTTTATTACCTGCTATGTGGTGCACTGTTTTTTCAGTTCTACAGCAAAGTGAAGAAATGCCCAGTTGTAGTGTTGGCATAAGAAGGATTAAAGCTTACTTTTGATCATTATTTTATCCTTGGCTATTAGTCAAAATGAAAATAAGAAACACATCTTAAGAAACTACTGAAAAACAGCGGTTGAAAATCTGTCTTGACATACAAGCGTGGATCCCTTTGATGTCCATTTTGTGTAATTGGTGATATCTCAGTCAAATTTGGCCCCAAGTACTTGTGATTTATTACGCAATTTGAATTTTTCTTTAGGTTTGTGGTTTTTCTGTGTTATTGGCAACATGCCTTGAGCAATTACCAAGAAGTTTTATGAAAATCAAATCATGGTTCCTTTGAAAATGTTAGCTTGGCTTGACCCATATGAAAAGTCCCTGGTAAGCTCAGGCAGTTGATGCTACACTTTATTAGCCTTGCTCGACATTTTAAAAAACAATTGTCAAAGAACATCTTGACTTTGTGGGAATAAACATCTATATTTAATTGTAGGTTTCAGATTCTTCAGCTGAAGTAAAAGCCTTGGTGGAACAAAAAGCAGAGCTTGAAAGGAAAGTAGAAGAATTAGAGAAAAAACTGGATCTCGAAATTAGGGTATGGCACTTTGTTGTTATAAAGCAGTTAACTATTTCAAATATACTTTTCCAAGTAAGTGAGAACCGATCAACCATCTGAATCTTTTTTGCTTTGTATTCTTTTTAATCCAGATATTCCTGTGCTTTTAGAGAAAACTTTTTATTTTATCTGTAGTTGCTCATAGCATAGTTACCCTCTTTAAGAAATCCTTAGTATTTGAGGAGTTTGGAGCAGTGAATAAAAATGTTAGGCACGTGCATGTAAAATTTCTTGGGCATCTTCAGAGGTAAATGTTAATCTGTTGACTGCAGTGAGACACACATGGAGTGAGAGACAAACTGTATTACTCATTAGCTGCTGTTTATTAATTACAGCATTATTTTTACACTGCGGAATTCAAAGTGTTGCTCTGAAGACATGAGAAGGACAGCTTGGCTTCTTTCAGTTTGCTTTTGAGTCTGTGATAAGAATCAATATACTTGAAACTGATTAGATAGTACTGAGGAGACTTCACTTCTCATGTTTCTAATAAAAATCAAAAAGCAGTGCTTTGTGTGCTTTAATAAATGTTCCAAGCTTTTAATATTCATAAATTAATAACCACTTCTACAGGTGAAAAATATCAAAGTATTAAAATGGCTTCTTTCATATAATAAAAAAGAGCCTTTAATTTATTTATGCTTAGTCTATTATCTTGCTTAACTCTTGGTGTACAAAATTCAGAATCAGCAGAATTCCAAAGAAGAGAGAGATGCTACACGAGCCAGCCTGAAAGATCTTCAGTTGCAACTCGATGAAAGCATATGTGAAAAAGAAGCCTTAAAAAAGCAGCTGAAAGAAAGCGAAAAGGAACTCAGAGAAAACCTAGAGGAGTGAGTTACTTCTAGAAAAGTTATTTATTGGAATTTGTATGTGTTCTTAAACCTTTTGCATTAAAAGTACCTGTGTCTTCAGAATAAGTTAATAGCATCAGACAGAGTAACATTTGTTATTATAGGAAATGTTTCTACCGTTTAAAAACGGCATGTTTTTAGAATGTCTGGAAGGAGAAGATTGCTGAATTTACGGTCTTCCTCTTAGTGCAGATTGCTTTTAATATTTCACAGTCATAATATATAATTCAAGTCTTTACAATATGAGGACACTTGAGTACTTTAGTCAAGAATATAGTACCAGGTTTAAAATAAAATGTAACTTTCCACTTAATGTCTACTTAAAAGAGTACTCATTTTTACCCCTCTGACATTTCATTTTTCTGCCTCATTGTAACCCATTCCCTTGTGTGGAACATGGGAATTGATACTTGTACATTTTTAGTACTTGAAAGAATGAATTAATATTTCTGAAAATTAAAAAATCCTGTCTGATTTTTCTTGATGAGGCTTTTTCAAGTGAAGATGGAGCAGGAGCAACACCAGACTGAGATCAGAGATCTTCAGGACCAGCTGTCTGAGATGCATGATGAACTGGATAACGCTAAACATACTGATGAAGGGGAGAAAGAGGTTCTGATTGAGGTTAGTTATGAAGTACCAGAGGAAGGATGAAAAAATCAAAGGAATTGCATAAAAAGTGGGAACTAAGATACAGGTAGAAGAAATATATGCCTTAGCTTTTCCCATTCTATTAATCTAAAATAATATAGCATTATTAGGTGCCCTAAGAAAGCATGTTATAATAACTACATTAACATTAAAAGGAATACATACCATTGTTTTATAGAGTAGAACAAATAACATAATCGTTGAGGGATAGCTCCGTTATTCAATATTACCAGATAATCATCTCAGTTCTAACAATTAGATAGGATTTTTGAGTCAGGACAGGGAAGATCAGTTTAAAGAAGGTGTGCATACTAGCAAGACCGGATGAGACTCAACTAAGAAAATGAAAAGAACTCACCAAAGCAGTCTCTAAGTTGTTGATTCCCTATTGATGGGAGAGAAGAGAAGGGATACAGTCTGAAGAGGAACAACAGACTTGTGGGTTTTCTGTCACCTTGGGATGAGAGAGCGATTGATTGTAGCCCTGGTTATAGTAATATACTGATGAAGAAATAGAGAACACTGCGTATTAAATTTGTTGATAAGAGTATATCGGTGTCTAATGGTTCAAGAGGAAGATTAAAATTCAGAATTATCTTAATACTTTGTGATGCCAAAACAGTTTGCTTCCCTTAATAGTAGTGCAAAGAACTAGCTGAAGAAACGGAAGCTAAATGTTAAAATGCAAAACTGGGAGCAAAAGCATAGATAGTAGATCTCAGGAATATTAAAGATGTTTGTATGCAAGATAAGCTGAGTAGAATAACTACTTTGTTTTGTCTAGTGAGATTGAATACTCTCTTAAGTTACTCCTGCAAATCTTAGGCACTGCAGTTGAAAGTTGTACATAAGTAGGGGGGTATCTGGAAGAATGGTGATAGCACTGAAAAACATTACCTATGAAGAAGGAATTTAATCTGAATGGAGGAGTGAGGGAAGAGTCAAAAAGCACATCTTTTGTAATATTGCTATAGAGGAGATAGAGTAAGAAATAAGAGACTAAGCTACAGAGATTTGAAGTAAATGTTGGAAAACATTTTTTATCAATATGGATAAATAAACAGTGGAATATGGCTACCTGGGATGGTAGTAGAATCCCTTTCATTGTAGGCTTTTAAGGACAGAATAGATTATATGTGTTAGGAATGGTTTAGATGTATTGATCCTGCGTCAGCGTGGGGGAAGTTTACTTTCTTTTTGAAAGTGCTGTTATTCACAGCTTGAGAAATACTGAATTAGGTAATTTTTAAAGCTGTACATTTTTGATTGTTGCTATTGGTTTATTCTGTGCTTGTATACGTGAATGTGTGTATTTATTCTTCAGATTCACTGACTACTGACTTCCCAGCAATTTGGAGAGGGGAAATGACTTCTAGGGGAAACATGGTGGGAGGAGGAAGGGTGTAGAGGCATGGACTCAGTTGGAAACCACTTGTTTTGTCTTCAGCACTTGCAGAAGCAGCTTTATTTGTTCCAGTAGAAATGACAACAAGCAATTATCATTGGGTTCACTTCTCTTGCTGTGTGAGAAACAAAGGTTTTTCTTTGTTCCTATCTACCTCTTTGGTACAGAAGGTATGACTGAGGGAGTTGCTAAATTGCAACCATAGTTTGACTCCCGCTTCATTTACAGACAACATAACATACAACATCAACATTTTTCCATAGTTTTACAGCATCAGATATGTTGATCCATTATATAAAACATCAGGTATATGTTATACTTCTAATAATTTTAGGGTTTATTGAAATTTTGGCTTACTACAAAAGCTGCAAAAAATACATCAGTCATACAAAATAAAGTTGGCCTTGGAGAGCTTCTGCTTAGATGCTTTCCTTCTCTGAAACACAGACAGAGCATCCATTGGAACTGTTTGTCATGCAATTGTGTTTAATTTTGTTCTTTAGGAGCTGATGCAAATGAAGCAGGATCTGCAAGAAGTATTAATAGCAAAAGATCAACAAGAAGAGATTTTGAGAAAAAGAGAGAGAGAGCTTACAGCTTTAAAAGGAGCACTAAAAGAAGAAGTATCTAGCCATGACATGGAGATGGACAAACTTAAAGAGCAACATGATAAAGAATTGCTTAATCTACAACAGAGCCTGGAGAAAGCAACAGAGGTGAAATAAGTGATTACGATTAATCTCTGCAGGGTAAAATTATATGCCTCACAGATGTCCCATACTAGATGCTTTCAGATACTAATATTTTCTTAGCAAAATACACAGGTATCTTTACACAGTTCCATGCAGCCCACTTTTCTAACCTTGAGCTCCTTGTGTCACATCCTGTTACCTGACTACATTGTCCCACTTTGTTCCCTGAACTCCTTACTACTAGGGTTTTTTATTTTATTTTGTGTCCTTTTCATTCATTGAGGTTATCTTGTTTATGGAATGGTCAAATGAGTGCCAGCACAAGGGAAAAAGCAGGGAGCAGGTGTCTGGAAGCAGACAGGTGGAAAATGGAACTGAAGGAATTGCCTTTTCCAGCATCAGCAGGAAGTCTTTGTGAGGTGTAGAATGAACAGTTTACAGCTGTGCCTGTCTGTTACCGCTTTCCAAAAGATGTCCTCTGTGAAGTTATCGTTGCAGAGACAGCAGCTAGGAATTTATTGAAAGATTTTTTTGTAAGGAAACAGCTCTCATAAAATTTTAAGCATTATTTTTACAATCCCAGTTTTTTGTGTCTGTTCTGTATCCCCTTCCCTCATTTTATTTCTGTCAATTTTTTGCGAAAATGTCTAAAGGCAAACTGTGCTTGACCAATATGTCAAAATTGTAGGCCCAGTTTTATGCTTAGAAACCTCCATGCTTATTTATATCTTTTACCCATACCATATTGGTGTTAGGTGAGTTGCAGTTATCCTACTAGTTGTGGCCAAAAACATAATGTAGAACTGCATTAAAATTAAGCTTGAAACTTGAAAGAAGTTTCTCAAGCTTTACATACTTCATGAATAAAGTAGGAGCGCATATGGAAGATGCTGGATAGATACTGTATGACTGTACTCTGATAGAGTATTCTTTTAAAAGATTGTTTTTAAATATGTGATTTTCTTCAGTGGTTACAAAAATTTTATACATTGGTTTGTTTATGCAGCCTAGGACTTCTACTTGAGATTGTTTAGCTTTGATTATATGTGTTGTTTCTCTTTGTTTACATCATCATGAAGATATTTGACTCATCCGATCTGCTTGAAATGAATTCATTTCTTCTTTGAGAGAAAAGTAGAACATTTAAATTATCATTTTTTATTATACAGTAATTGTAGTGACAGCTTAACCTCAGTGAACCATCTTTCAAAGTAACTGCGTGGTAATTTACTGTATTTCAATTATGGAACTGTAATTACGACTGACAAGAAATGAAAGAGTAGTCTGTTTGGCATAACAATAACACAGTCTGGGAAATGGCTCTATGACTAGGTTGCTGTGGCTTAGAGATAGTTATAAATAGCATTTATTTGCTTGCATGACATAGTCTATCTAATAGCAAATTTAATAAGATGTTTAAAAGTGAAATTTAATTAATTAATGTTGCTCTAAGCACCAGTTCTCCTCTTCCAATTTTACTTCAAGTTATTTTTGTTGGTTTTAAGTAAGACTTTTATCATTCTTAATTGGAAGGTGGAGGTTTTTGTGTGGTTTGTTTGTTTTTTTTTTTAATCTTGCAAGTATTAGTACCCTTAATGATTTTTTAAAATTTTTTTTTGAAGCCTGGAATTATATGTATGCCTACTGACTAAGACTAGTTGCTGAGTTTGATATATCTATCAGGAAAGTATAACCAGTCTCTGCAGGGAGTTAGATCAGTGATCTGCCATGATCTTACATATCATATTAATTACTGGTCTTATAATTAATCTGGAATACCCAACAGTGTGTGTGAAAATCATGTTTTATACAATTGAAGCTACTTGACCTGTTAAATTATTTTTTTTAATATTATTGCAAGATGAAAAGATTTATAGTGGGTGGTGTATAAGAAATTTATATCAAAGATTAGTGGAAAGGGCCGTTCTGTTGTATTTAATGAGGAAAACAGGTATGTAATGGCTGTAACAGTGGCTTACCATACAGAAAATATGGATGCTGATGTTTGATATATCAGGGTATATTGGAGTCTTTATGCACACGGTTGTTAGTTCCTATGCTGCTTCTATATCATCCAAATTGGTACACTGAAAAAGGTGTTTTGTGATATCTTTGCGGGGAGAAAGGAAGTAATTTTTGTGCCACTGTTAAATCAACAGAATTCATCAGCTGCTGGAGACATCAGATAGGTTGGGAAGTAATGTACACTGCATTTAGCCTGTGTGATTAGAATGCCACATAGATGTGTTTTGAAATCATGTTAGAAACACACTCAAGGTTTTCTGCTAGGAGAACAGAGTGGGGTTATTACATTACATGTGATGCTGTTCTCAAGCTCACTGATGTGGTAGTACGTTGGGGTTTTCTTGTTTTTTTAAAATAGATGTTGTTAGATAAAGCCACAGATATTCAGATATTAATTTTCTTTGCTACAGTTTACCTTTTAAAGTCATTTTTCTGCTACATCTTTTGCTTGTGGTCTAGAGATGGCTGTGATCTTAACTTCATTGCTTGTTTACTAAGACTGAAACCAGACCGTTTCCGTTTAACAATGGTAGAAGTTTTACCTTTTTAAACATATCTTTGTGTGGTAACAATTACCTTTAATTTAATAATAAATTAAAAATGTCTTTCTAATTAAAAATGGATTTCTCTGTCACAAGTCCTAGAGCAGAAATGAGTATGAATTCCCTCCTGGTTTTAATGTAGTACAAAAATTTATATTCCTTAATCTGGCCCTACAACACAACAGGCCAGAATTGTACTACTTAACTATGAGTGCTCTGTCACTACGGATGAAGTGCCACTGCTCCAGCAAAATTTGGAAATAACTTTTGGAATATAATACTGTAGGTAAAAGGTTGTAGCAAATTGCAGCTAGTACTGTTCAAATTCCACTGAAATTGTGTCAGCTTGCAAACTGCACAGCACTCAAATTTATGCCTGCTTTGAGAAGTAGTCTGTACAAATTCTCTTGTTCAGAAAAAGCTGCAATCATCACATTATGAAGAGGCTTACTGAAGCCTGACCTTGACTGATTTACTGACCTTGTCCTCAAAATGATAAAACAAGCACTCAGAATTTAGAATCTGATTCATTTAGTAACACATCCAAGAATTCAATGAAGCTTGCGGTCATCTGAGCTTTAACTGTAATGTATGTACTAAGACATGAGATATGATTGAAGAGAAGAAGGAATTTTACCAGAGCAAGCGGTAGGAGCAGCAGAAGACAGTGGTTTCCTTCTGCACATGTTATGAACTCAAAGTGTATTCCTTTAAAATAAGAAAACAATATAAAATTTTGAACATTGTAAATGAGAGTAGGCTTTGGTTTTGTTTTTTCCCCATTTCTATGAAGTGTTTGTGCATTTAGGTGAGTCTACCACAGAGCTGTAAAGAACTTTGAAAGGAAAGTGAATATTGTACCTTTTTCTACCTAACCTGATAATATATTTCTTCCTCAAAGCTAATAAAAAAAACATGGAGCAGAAGCTTAACAAAAACTGGCTTAAGCATTTGTAAATGGTACTGATACGTACTGCATATGCCTTTCTTGTAGAAATGGCTTGGCATATATAGTTTAAATGTAAAATGAAACATAACTAAATTTAGTATACTCTGAGAACCTATTTTGGAATAACGCTGTACAAACACCAGTGGTTTCCCAAGTTACACAGGGTAAACTGAAGACAACTGATTGTGGAGCATCGCAGACACACTTTGGTACATATATAAATGTAATTTATATAGAAGTAGAATGATACATATGGAAAAAAACCCAATAGGATCTGAACTAATTTGTACCCCTCTAAGGTGAAATCTTGGGGTTATAGTAAATAGCTCTATAAAAACATCATCTTGATAGCAGTAAATGAAACAAATTATATGATAGGAATTACTTGGGCATAAGAACATCATTATGCCTTTGTATACATACATCCATAATTTACCTGAATCTGCATTATGAATGCTGTGTCTGAGCCCAGTCAGTTCATCTCAAACAAGGCATACAACAGCTGGAAAAGCTTTACAGAAGGTGAACCAGGATTTCAAATGCCACTGCTGGGTTTTTTCTTTCCTCTGCTTGCCTGAGGCAACCTTTGCCTTGTTGAAACAACACTTTTTTTTGTTTGTTTGTTTTGGTGGTAGAAGCTGGTTGGTAATTGATCTAAACAGTGTGCAGAGTCAAAGAATAGTGGAGTGACTGGTCTGAGTCAATGTTTCCTCTTTCGTGACCTGCCTCCCTCTGTCCTCCTTTTCATTTGCTGCCCTCTTTTAACCAGCCCTCTAAAAGCCTGGTATGTTTTTGATTGATTTCCAGTGTGGTCCTACAACCACAGATGGAGTAGGGGATAGAGAGGGATGGTGCACAGACAGAAGCGTGATGGTGGAAGGAGAGCTGCAGGCACTCCTTAAATAGGCATCATTATTGGAAACACATATTTTAGAACTGTATATGGAAAATCTGGGACACAGATTTGATTTGTTATGCTGTAAGTGTCTGTTCTGTGCATGGAAAGGAAGTTGTTTGGTAATAGCATCATGCATGTTTTTAGGCACCCATTAAATAAAATACCAAACAAATTATGGAATACTAGCTGTGTTGTCAACAAGAATAATAAATATGCCTCTGAAGTGCACTGAAGATGTAACTTGGTGACTTGTCTTTGGTGCTAAAAGCAAGCTTTTTAAATTCCAGCTCCTCTGGTCTTTCATTTCCATGCAATTTACTCCATTTATTTAGTGAGGACATGTGTTTGTTTGGATGCAGACAGTACCATGAAACTACAACGGAGTGGTTTTTATACGGTATGTAGAGTCAAGAAAGCCTCTGAGCAAAATTGTCCTGCAAAGTTCTGTTTGAGTTGTATTTGACCACATCTAAACAAGACAAAAAAAAAAAACATCTGTTTTATCTGTAATAGCATTTCACCATTGTGAGCCTTATTCAGTGGGACTATTTCACTTACTCCGGGTTGGGAAGAAGGGGTTGTTTGTGATTTGTTTTGGGTTTTTTTGTTT